AGTGGTGCAACGACGCAACGTTGGGAATCTGTGAATCTAAAGCAACAGAACTGTTACATGGGGCAACAAACATCAACAGTGATGGCCCTTAACAATTATACCTGGGTTTATAATGATATATAACCTGGGTTATAGGAATTATATTTCTGTTTGCAACTCTTAAGGGCAATAACTGAACACACCATGCTTTAAAGGTTTTGGGGATGCCCCACAGAGATGTGTCCGTTTTGTCATGGGGATACCCCCAGCCGTCAGCATGGATGGGACACTGAAAAACAAATCTTAGTGGATTTCTGCCCATAGTGGAATGAAGTGCATGATTTATCTTTGGTAATTTGTTACATAGCTATTGAACATGACCATTTATACTTCATTTACCTGTTAAAAGCATGTGATTTTATGTGATTTTCCAAAGCTATTTTCGTTTACTAGAGGGTATTATTGTTTTATGAACCCAGTTTTTCAGACTTTCATGCTGCGCTTTGATGAAACACCAGCACCGCCTCGCACAGATGCTTGCATAATCTTATTTTTACTGACTTTTTAATGGTGAAAAAAACAGAGGCTCCAAGCTGGACGTGAAATTCATTGTCATACCAAATGGTAATCAAACTCGTCTCGTACTCATGAAACATCACTAGATCAAAGATGTTCTCAAAACATGGGACTTTCTCATTGCCAGGTTAGATCACCACTGCTTCACTACAGACACATCCCCAGGGTCGAATTGACGGATAAAGTTTTGGTATGTTTTTGATGGATTGGATTCTCAGCAGCGCACAAGGCTTGTCTCCTTTTCTTTGCTGGATGCTAAAATAATCTAAAAACACCATTTGTTTTTTGCTTCTACCACCATGTATCCAACTGAACTCCGCCATGTTTAGCCTGTCAAGTTCAACCATCTAAATGAATCAACATTTAGATCTAGGATTGCTATTTTAAATAAAATATGATAAATACAAAAAACGGCTCCAATTGAAGCTCAACATAAATGTTTTCGTCCAACTATTATACCTAGCTCCGAATGATAATTAATATGAAATAATATGAATACCCCTAATTATCAATTACTGTAATCGGTTGTCAACTATCACAACCAGTTGGTAGAAGATTTATGCCATCATAGTCTCATTGATTTACGGTGTTTCATAGGAGTCCCAATAGTCACCAACTGGTGCAGGAATTCGCTCCGCCACTGGGCTGTCCAGGCATCCTCCAAGCGTCTTCGCCTAAAAATTCGGGCGGGTTTTCTTGTTTAGACACCAACATTGACTATAGGAACAATGGGATTAATATGGGTAAATACACTTTAATTGACTTTAATACATGTGAATTCCAAGACTATTTCTACACGTTCATGTGCAATTTCGGGCTCATTGCCATTGTAACTTTAGTGATATTTTATATATGATTTATCTTGCCGGAGCAAAAACACCTGGAATTTCCCATGGGAATTTCCATGGTGGAATGTCTTGGATCAGCGAACTGGGGCTTCCATGGCCCAGTCGAAAGTTCGTTGATTTACCTATGAAAAATGGGTGGATCTTTCCATGGTGAAAAGTGGCTGTTTACCAGAGGGTAAGCCGGGTAAGCCTCCATTTTCCTATGGTTTTCCTATGGTTTTGTAGTTATGTTATGACCATAGTCCAAAGTCCAAAGACCCCAAACTCGCACATGTCACATCCTGTGGGATTCACCCTATGCCATCTGCACCCCAAGTCATCCTGTGGACTGGCTCCTGTAAGCCATCCCCCGTCATGGTAGGCGTATGGCGGTTTCGAATATTAAAAATCAAATTTATCATCACATTGCAGATACAATCCCCAACCTCCTCTGAAGAGGACCCTCCCCTTTCGGAGGGATCAAAACCCACCCTTGCGCAACGACAATCGATGTTCATCACACCAATCATACCGGAAAGTCATACGAAGTGGTGCCGTCTAGTCATAAGATTCATAAGTGGGTTTGTGAACCCCATCTACTATAGTCAATATATCTACCATTATGCCATCAACATCCATCAACCCGATTGAAATATGAGGCATAAACCAACTTAGCGATTCCGAAGTGGGGCACCCAACGTAGGTTTTGACATGTTTCGACACATTCCCAAGTCAATCACCCACCATCCGATGCTTACATATTTCTAGGGGATTTAAAAACCGTGATTTTTTGCTGTTTACCCGCTATGGAACATGGCCTATTTATAGATGATAAATAATAAAGGTGATGATTTACCGTTCTTAAAAATCTTGATTTTCCAGTTCGCAAACCGTTAAATAACCAGAGGGTATCCATCATATATCCCATTAAATCCCATTACATCTCATTAAATCCCATTAAATCCTTCAAAAAATCCCATAAAACATCATAAAACATCATGGATATATCACCAGTGTCACCATAAAAAACCATGAAATCACCATGAAAAATCACCAGAAGCAGCACTTAGTGCGCGCCTGCTAAGACGTCCCGCCGCCCAGGTGAGCTAAACATGGACCTGGCGCGCTGGCGCGGCGATGTCGGATGGGAAACTCTCCGAGTTCCGAAGAAAAAAATGACGATGAGGATCAGGATGATGATGATTGTCATTATCATCATTGTCTATATGATATATAATTATATATATATATAATATGTGAAAATGATGATGATGATGATGATGATGAAAAAAATATTATTGTTATGATTCTTATTGTGTTTGTTATATGTATCATTGTGTATCTCTAGATCGAAAACGATGCAACCATATTCGAAGCATATTTCAGCAAACTATTCAGATATATTCAGATCGTACGAATGTCAAGTTAAAGCATTTATCTACTAGCAGAACCTCCAAATTGTTACCCTAGTAGGGAACAGGTTGATTGCATAACTGGAATCAAACTCCGCAAACCACTTCGCAAAGTTAGTTGTGTATGTGGGTGCGTCCGAAAAATGTTGTCCGTTCATTTCAACACACACGCGATTTCCTTTACTTTTATATTGGATTGAAAGTAAGTGCGTGGAATGTTCATGCTTATATATTTTCTTATATCCAGATGTGTAGAGATCTATGCACTGCTATCTTATATCCAGCTCTGGATTATCAGTATATTCATGATATTTTTCACAATCCGAGTCTTTTTTCTCTGAATGTGGTAAACCCAATAATAAAGCATCTCCCATTGGGTTTGATTATTGGATATACCACCATTTGGGATGAAAAATTACCCCAAAATGGTTGGCTAATGGGATGGTTTTCTCAGCATTTGCACCACAGCGGTCTGGAAAAATCCACATTTTTCCCATAAACTGGTTGGTTAGTAAGTATTCAATGGGTGAGTTGATAATCCCCACTAAGCCACTTAGGCTACTAACGCCCAAATCCATGAACCATCAACGATATCAACGATATCAACGATATCCCCATAGTTTTCATGCTTTAAACCCCATTAAAAAACAAAAAAACATGAAACCATTAACGTTACTTTCTTCATGGCTCATCAGCTCGACCACATGCCAGGCACACAGCATAAAAGACAAGAGCCATATCCAAGAGGAAGCTAAGACTTCCAAATGTCGAGGAGAAAACCTCAAAAAATCTGCAGAATTGGTGTCCGGCTTGTTTCTTCAATGAATTTATATATATATATATATTTTTGTATATACATAGTATATGTATATGTATATGTATATGTATATGTATATGTATATGTATATGTATGGATATGCACTTAAATAGATTAACATGCTGGGATTCAAGGACTCCAATAGCTACCGGGTTCCTGGGTTCCTGGAGGATCGGCGCAAAGCAAACCATGGGGTAACCAGGGCTAAGCAGAGACCCAGCCATCGAAAAACGCAAAGAAATTGTTGGCTATATATCTACTATATCTCTGATCATACATCCAGATTGTGGTTGGTTGATATATGTTGATATGATCATTCAGATACGTCTCGAATCTCGAGAGATTTAGATCGAAAACTATATGGGGAACTCTTTTGTGCACTTTCAGATAGATATTGGAATATCCTGGAAAACCACAACTTTCAAACGGATGGGACCATCATCCATAAATGATCATAAAAATACTGCTTGGTGGTTGACCTACCCATCTGAAAAATCATGGACTTCGTCAGTTGGGATGATTTTCCATTCCCAACTGAATGGAAAGTCATTCAAAATTCCATGGTTCCAGTCACCACCAACCAGTATTATTCAAGGATCAAATATCATCAGAATCATGACCAACCAGAGGTTTCTAATGTCAATTTAATCAGAAAATCCACAACATAAATGGATATACACCATTATTATCCTATCATTATACCTATCATTACTATCATTATCTGATAGTAAATACCATGATAGGAATACAAATGGATACAAATGGGTGATCTTCCATTGCCAGGTTCACCTTGCGTTTGCCCCACGTTGCCCCCACGCCGAAGAGACCCGATGAAAGACGGCTGCCGCCGTTGCGCGTTGCGCTGAGACCCCGAGCTTCCTCTTCCAGGGAGATAAAAGAATGGCCTGACAAAGACATACGCCGCCAACGCATTGGGAGATGTTGTGATACTGTGGATGGGTTGCGAAATCCTGCACCACCTTGGATGATTAAAACCCTATGAATAATGGGATAAACCACCTATTAACTGGTGCAGGATTTCTTCCATCCACCGTATGATGTGCAGTTACGCTATCTATATCTGAATCTAAATATAATATATATATATAATTATACATCTATTTATACCTACATTATTATATGTATAATCATACTATGAGGCTCAATGCATATGATTATACATAAATTTATGTTAATCATGTCTAATCATGTGTATAATTATAGACGTATATATGTATATTGGGATTCATCTCCAAGCATACATTCATAGGGGTCCAGGGTGATTGCTTTAAGACTGACCCCCTTCGTGGGCAAAATCAACTCTTATCCACTCTTATCCACTAAATACCACTCTTATCCACTCTTATCCACTCTTTTCCACTCTTATCCACTCTTATCCCACTCTTATCCACTCTTATCCACTCTTATCCAACTCTTATCCACTCTTATCCAACTCTTATCCAACTCTTATCCAACTCTTATTCACTCTTATTCACTCTTAATTTTAAGAGTAATGTTCTTCACTCTTATTCACTCTTATCCACTCTTATCCACTCTTAACAAAATGTGGTCGTCTCAGGATCAATGGGGTTTATCTTGATTTGAAATGGTGTATCAATGGCAAAGATTGTGGCTCAAAACGGAGCTCAGTGAGAAAGATTGGGGAGCTCGTGTCGACTTCAAGTTGACACTGGGGGCACCAATGTTTGTTGGGAGTGTTAACATGCTAAAAAACTAATATGAAATAGTCCTCGAAGGGGGTCACTCCCCCTGAAATGCATACCCTCTCATGGTTTAATACCAAGCCAAGATATGGTTCAAATATTACTACCCTCCCATGGTTTTGGGGGAGTGACCCCCTTCAAAACACGAGTTTTTGATAGTTTGGCTATATTAATCATTCAAAAATGAATACCCTCTCATGGTTTTGGGGGAGTGACCCCCTTCAAAACACGAGTTTTTGATAGATTTGGATATGAATCCTCAAAAATTGAATACCCTCTTATGGTTTTGGGGGAGTGACCCCCTTCACCAGTGTTTAGTGGGAAATTGTAGTAAGGATGGAACATTGAAGCTCAAGAAGAGCGCTTCCAAAAAATAGGAAGAACACCGACGCATTTCAACTGAGTTGAATCATGCTGCAAAAAAAAAACACGGTGGTTTCAAGTTGACCTGGAACTTGTGAAATCACATGAATTTTACCATTTTGGAATTTCAACTCTTATTTTTAAGAGTAAATAAGAGTCAATAAGAGTCAATAAGAGTCAATAAGAGCAAATAAGAGTAGCAAGGGGGTCACCTCTAACACCATCAGCTTAGCTTCCTATGATACATGGTTGATCATGCTGTACATGCTTTTCGAAACCTCTGACGGCCGTTTTTGCTGAGTGTCCATCCCTCATGCATCGGGCTCCAGTACATGCAGATTTTCACGAAAAAAGTGATTTCAGCAGCCAACAAAAATAGGGAAATAATGGGGACATACACTTTGGAAATCGATTCCGGCCTTGGGCATTTCACAGACTTTCGATTTACCCTTGATTTTCCCATAAACATTGGGGGATTTGATATTGCTAGATATTGAGGACGAATCGACAGCTCAACTAAAAAACTGGTTTTGGAAGTGGCTGAAAATGGGTTAAATCCTCCAAAATGGCTATTCAATAGGGTCAATTTAATAATAAACCATTCGATTTGCAAGGTGCTTGGGCCCACTTTTTTCGGAGCAGCCCATGAACTTCATATCCTCCATAAACATCCATAAACCATCGAATTCAGCAAGTGAACTCTGCGTCATTTTTTTGCTATCGTAAACGGACCTCCATTAGCTATCGGTTAGCCTTTTTTTTTACCTACCGATGATTTCACGCTTTGCGAACTGGAAAAGAACATCATCCGAAATCCGAAAGATAAATTCATCATCAGAATATATATATGTATATATACACATCAACCATTATATATATATATATATCATCCATTTCTATGGCCCATTTTCGCTATGTCAAATCACCAGAGGCGATTTTTTTGGCAAATTTTCCGATGGTTTTCCTATGCTATAAACCCAGCTATAAACCTCCATTTATAGTGAATTCCTCCATCTTTTTCCCTATTTTTCCCATGTAAAATCGGCATTTCCCATCCATTTTTCTATCATTTTGGATCGGACACCTGGTACAGGAGGAAGATCAACGCCAAAACCAGGCTCACCACGATGGGCTGGGCACGTTTTACGTTTAACATGGGGAGAAGAACTTCTAGGAGAACGATGTTTCTGGGGGATAATCATGGGTTGCGAAATAAACAGATGATACCCTCTAGTAAATAGGCAAACCATAGGAAAACCATCATAGGAAAACCATAGGAAAACCATAGGAAAATGGAGGTTTACCCTCTGGCAATGATTAACATAGCTATTGAACATGGCCATAGAAATAGTGGATTTTCCCATTAAACATGGTGATTTTCAATAGCTATGTTACATTACCAAATGATAGATGGCAAACATCCCACTATTTTGGATGGGTTTCAACCATCAAAGCTGGTGCAGGATTTCGCAACCATCCACAGTCTTGGAGAAAAACGATGGAATAGTAGTGGTAACATGTGGTAATTGAATAATAATCTTGGATTTGCGCAAGGAATACCCCAAAGAAATACAACATATTCCTTAAAGATTCCGATTCAGTAGTGGTTTTCCCAAGAAAATACAGATCATTTCAGCAAATCCAGGTACATGTGAGAATAGAATGTGGATAAAAATATGATTCGCGGACTTGTAAAGTGAAAACATTAAACATTAACATAGACGATTTAGCCCTATAAATCCAGAAAAAAAACACATGGGAATAATCAATCGATATATAGGATGATATAACCAACAATATTAAGGCAATGGAGGAATTGAAGGGATGAAGGGACAATTTATAGGAACTCTCCATGGCTCATGGGAAAAAAACATGGTTTCCTGATGTTTCCTGTGGATAACTTTCCTCATATAGGTATACCCTAAAAAAAAACATCATTTTCTGCTTGAATCCCGGAATGGTCGTGGTGAAGCTTAGGCCACTAAGATCCACATTCAGCATCGTAAGGGATGGGATTGGGATGGGAGGAGTTTCATCACCCCGATCCCTCAAAACATCCAAGGTTTGTATGGTCAATACGATCCGTGCTTTGTAATTCAAAATGGGATCCGTTTGTATCTATGATTTGTAAGTGAATTATATATATCTATACTTATTATACATCTCTATATAGTTTATATACATCACTCTCAACTTTGGAAGCCTCATCGCTAAAAACCCAAGTACGAACATCCGAACTTCAGCTGATCCAAGGCGCCTTTCCGTGATGTTTACCCCATGGAATTTAGCACTTTTGTTTAAAAAAATGATAGGATTGTTCTTCTTTACAAGGTCAGGCCGATGTTTCAGTTGACTTCAAAACCCATCAACAATAGATAATAGTTATACTATGTTGTATTATGTTATTATGTTAGGATGTTATATGAACGTTATATTCCCACCATAAATACAACGGTCAAGTTATGTGCGTCAACCTGGACATCGCCGACAGTCGCGTTTTTGGGTGTGGGCCTCAGGGCCTCACCTTTTTTCATCATGAATCCCTACAGGATGGGGCCTCTGTTCGTGAACGCTAACTAAGTTGGTGCAGTTCTAACTATCGTAATGTATATTGGTTGGTGGTGCAATAACCCCTCTGAAAAATATGAAAGTCGATGATTACTCCCAAATTATGGAAAAAATAAAAAGTGTTTGAAACCACCAACCAGTAACAATAGTGTATGATAACTATAATATTAAATAGTTTTTCAAAAAAAACAACTAGGGGGTTTATCACTATTTCATAACAAGTTGGTGTATGATACGCAAATAACTATATTCAAATGAGGTTATAAACCAACAAACATAACTGGGGGCCCCATCCTGTATTAAACTTCATTAAACCCCAGCAAACCTTCCAATCATCCATTAATCATCCATCATGACAATTTTCTAAAACTTGACATTCTGGAAAGGTTCATAATTTCAGTGAAAACATATTCGTCTAAATGACCTTCGTTGCTTCTTAGCTTCCCCAAATAAGGTAATGCCTTCGAATGTAAATTGCTTGTAAGCCTATTATTCCCCATCATATTTGGTTTCCCCAATTGAGCAGTGTTCAAAATCCCCTCTATCATTCCATTATACTGGTTGGTTTATAGGGATTCCCCTATTGGATTATTGTAATCCCCAACATATGAAGGGTAGTATAATCCCCCAACTAAACATCAACCAACAGGGGTTTCGCAGCCACTGCTCAATTTACCCTCTGGTAATTTGTTACATAGCTATTGAAAGTGGCCATAGAAATGGGGTGAGTTTTCCCATGAAAAATGGGTGGATCTTTCCATCGTTTTTTGTAAACGTTTACGGCTTCTTAGCTTCCCGCGTCCCGGTTGGTCCCCCAAGGGGCCCCCCACGAAACCCGGCCACGCAGCACCAGCCTCGCAGCTTATGGGCGGTGATGGGAATTTTTGCTGGGGATATGGTCAAAACCCTGGTACCCAAACTGTAAAAGAGCTGGTTAATGGACGTTTACTCCCCCAAAAGATGGTAATTTCATAGGTTTTGACCCATCCCCATATAACCCACACTGGGAATAAATTGGCATGTTCAGCAAAAAAAGGTGATTTAATGGATAACAATTGGATATAAGTGAGCATATATGGGATCCACTCATTCAGCAGCAAACAAAGCAACTTCAAATTCAGGTTTCGAGTGTTCTGCCACCCAATGCATGTCTCTTAGAGTCTGTCATGACCTGCTTATGAGGTACACAAGTGAGGACAAGTTCAATGTTTAAACGTATTCATAACTTATTCACTTATAACTTGTCATTTTCGATGAGCCACCAGACTATCAAGAAATATGAACGTCATTTTGTTGATCATCACCTGTAGATGGTGGGTCTTCCACCAGGATAGTGGAAACAACATTGAACATCTACGATGTGGAGACAACAGAACATGAGTTGATGCCATCATTATCTGGTTGGTGGTGCAACAACTATCTTGAAAAATGATGGAGTTCGTCAATGGGTTTCGGATGACATCCCTTTTTTATGAAATGGAAAATAAAAGCCACATGTTCCAAACCACCAGCCAGCTATCATAGGTCACAAAACCTTGGTACCCTACACGTTAGTTGAGGCTGGATGTGAATTTTCCAATAGTCGGACTCTGCAAACTAGCGGCCATGGTGTGTCTGCAAATTCTGGCCCCCAAATCCCATCAGCCCGGCTTCGATTTCGGATGACTTCGCAGACTTCGCACCAGGCTTTTTGGGTACAATGTGGGGCCCCCAAACGATAGCTATATCAGTTGGTCCACATAACTCCGTTATTTCACCATGGTTTATGATACGCACATAACTATATTCCAATGGGGTTTATAAACCATTCTGGGTAAATTACAATATTTCACCAACCTGAATTGTTCGGCCATTTGGGGATGATTTCCCTAACATAAACCATGATTTCCAGGGCTCGGTCGCAGTGAGGTCGTGATGAAATTTACCCAGAATAATCTGGTTTATATCTAGATGTAACTATAGTTATATTATAAATGGTGATATGTTTCACCATAATGGGTCTATGTTAATTTACCAGCGGGTATAAACCATGAAACATTTCACTGGGGGCTGCCATTGCCACATTGGCCCATCCCGCGCATCAGGACCTTGGCGCCCTTGAGTTATGGGACATCCCCCATAGCTGGATGGTTGTTAATGGAAAGTCCCCCCAAAAATGGATGATTTTTGGGGGTACCCTATTTTTTTTTCTTATGACACTTCCATATCTGTAAATGATCATTAGATGGGGTCACATACAACGACAAACTGTATATATAAACCAACATAAATCATAGACATACAGTACTACGTACATCACCATACTTCATTATAAATTGATATAAATTTATATAAATTGATATATGCATTGATATAAATTGTAGATATATCAAAACTCATCGGCCATGTTGGTATTTTAGAGCATCAAAACACATCGGCCATTTCTCGGCCAAGTCCCCCACAGGATTGATGGCAAAAATGGCCAGGAGAAGCAGCAAGGCCCACGCTCCAGCCACCTAGGCTGCGCAGCATGGATGAAGGGTAGCAACCACTGCGAGGGCTGATTTTCTTGGATTTTTCAAGGATTTTAAAATGGATCTTCAATGGATTTTTACCGGATTTTCTGATGTTTTTAATGGATCTTGATGGATTTTCTTCATAAATACATGAACAAACAAAACACATATGAATAGGCACAAAGCCATTGGCCCTCTCATGCAACACATTGACCCAAACCAAGCCAACCTGTTGCACTTCTAAGAAGATGATGACGAAAAGAGAGAGCGAAAGCTGGGTTGCAGCTTCCCATGAGGCCTGAATTATAGGATTCAGCCATCATCATCCAGTTTTGTTGGTATCTATCTATCTGGAATCTATCTCTCTCTCTCTCTATATATATATACACACTATTTTTATACATGCGTATGTATGTATATATATATAATGGATACAATGGGCTTACATACTTCCAAAAATGGATACAGTGTGTATATATATATCCCATGATATTTCATTCTGTTATATCCTATTCTTGCTGGATTTGCTGGGACCCGGACCATCAGTCTTCGACGAAAGTCCTCGTGCATCTCCATAGACTGCGTTGACCGTCTGCTATCTCTACGACACATTGCCTGGAGCGAGGGGGTTTCACAGCTCCAATTTTCCCAGCTACGTATGGCTGAAAATGGAGTAACTATACCTATTTTCAGACAAACCCAGGGACGTTTGGGGGGTAATTTTGGATAAATATAAAACAACATGAGCTTATTTACTCCAAAGGTGGCTATCATTTACCTATAATGGGTTGCAGCAACCCTGTTTAACAAATGATTTTGTATGAGCAACAAATTAATCAATGGCATCAATGGGCTTTAACCCATCAACATTGGAGATACATATGGATCAACATGTTTTTTTTTTTATCACCTTAAATTGGATCATGCATGGATTGATGTGGTCAAATCACGATACTTTCATGGTCTATAGTCATCCATCCCATATTATCCATGAAAATGATTGATGCCAATCCGTCCATCCCATATCATCCATCCCTTCTTATGGCTGGGATATTCCATTCATATTGGCCTGAAACAATGGGTAAATGGATTGATGACCATCCCCAGCCACTACCAGTGGATCCCATGTGGAGTTGTATCATGTTCCACAAAAAATCATCACATGAATTGTACATTAAATCACTGGAAGTCCATCCTATCAGATATCCTATGTTATATCATGATTTTTTGAAGTTGCATCATGTTTTTTAAAAGGCAATTTCGGATCCATTTTGAGACAAACATAGATAAACCAAGCCGAGGTCGGTCTCCCTCCCATCCTTCGAAGTCTGGAGTATAAATCCACAAGCCGAGCCGACGTATCCAGACAGTATACTTGACGTTATGGCTTCATTATGTGGAACTAATTGCATAAGAAAACACTTTGTAACTAGTTAAAAAAACTCAGCTCAAAGTTCCAATAGCATCCAACAGCTGTATACTTGAAAAACTATTTTTGGCAATCACTTGCAACTACTTGCAATTGGACGACCAATTTTCCAACTAGTTCAAACTAGTTGTTCAAGTTGTATAGTTGCAATTAGTCACAAGTTCCAACTGATTATTACAGTTCTTAGTTCCAGCTATCATGTGAGCTGCTTGTCCATCAGGTCCTGAAAAAACAGACCTTGTTCCACTTGGGCCTCTCCAATTTTAACATATGTTCTCTATCTTTGGACAAACCCCATATAGTCCATGTTGCTGGTTACATCCAATCATTATTTCATACAGGATGGCCCCCCCAGTTATCAGTTGGTTTATAACCTCATCTAGATATAGTTATAAGAACCATTCACCAACTTGTTATGAAATAGTGATCAACCGCTAGTTGGTAAAAATAAACCCTATTTAATATTATAGTTATCATACACTATTATTATTGTTAGTATTATCATTATTATTGTTATTATTATTATTATTATATATATACTACTATAACTATTTGCACCAACTTAGCGTTCACGAACTGGGGCCCCTTTTTCTGTATGGTTGGCCATGTTGATCCACCGCTTTGGGGTCGGGAAAAAACCCATTGGCCCGTTCGTTACTTAAATTTCCATGTGGGGGTGTTTGAAAATTGATTGTACACCAATAAATTGAAGGCCTTTTATGGGGGAAATGAACGTTTAATCAATTTAATCCATTCGAATGGGCTTATCATTTTCTATTTTCAGACCATTTCTTGTTTGCTATTTTTTGGGGTCCATTGGAGTGTCTTCCATTTTCCAGACCCATTTTTCCTTTGAATCCACATTGCCCAATCAGTTTAAACCGGAAATCCACCGTGTCAAACCTCATCAGTCGGGACGAGGATTTGTTTGGTCTCTAGCGTCTGAGCCTTCAGAGCGTTCAGAGTCAAGTCTGAGCCAGATGGGTTTGTTTCAAGAATAGGGTTTCTCAATGGATTGGTTTAAGGGAAAATCTACAGGAAACCATGGTTTTTACCATCAAATATAGGGTTTTCCTGTAATTTTTCCCATCATCCAATTCTATGATTCATAAATCCCCAGTTGGGATAATATGGAGACATTGTATGGTTCGGCCAATGGTTTCTGGAAATTTTATTGGGGAAACCCCCACTGCGTTGACGTAACCGTCATCATTATCCCTGTTAAAGTAAACATGTGGGGTGGTATATCCTATTTTCCGAGAAACCAACATGGTATCATCATACAATGCTAATAGGAGATATACTTAGTATTGATAAAATCCCAATATGCCAATCTTAAAGGGGTGATAATGGCTAATAGTGGATAAAAATTGTCAATGGTGGCCATTCATGGCTTATAATGGCGAGTAATCCCTCCCCCTTTCATTTTTTCACATCCTCCAGAAAACATAACTTTCGATTGGGGATGAAACCACATATTTAATGACGTGGAACCATAGAATTGGGGGATGGGACTGCTTTCAGAATCTCTTCCACTGAAAGAATCAAAACTGCGACTTGATTGATCCTGGAATCACATGAATTTCATCTTAGCCCACAAATGGCTATGTGTCAAATTGGACAAGTTCGTCCATTTGGGGATGAATCCCTGCAATCGACACGCATGATTCCAGTGAGATCACTATGTCTTATCACAGTGAGTCTTCGACACAGAATTTGTCAACCCAAATTGCAGATGCTTTGGTCCAAGACGTGCCCCATAGTTGTTTCTGGACCCCAAATTCAATTCGCAGAAACGATGCAATTTTCCGGGGGTTTCCGAAGTCATGGTGGTACCCCCAAATCATCTAAGTTATTAGACCATGACTTAGCATTGAAACACATGGTGACTGGGGGATCCCCATTTTAGGAAACTATCCAATATTCATTTGGTTTCAGTTAGTCCTTGAGGACGCTATCCAATATGAAAAAATCAAAGTATCACTTCCACTGAAACATGTTTCTGTATGTTATTGTATGAAAATCCCATGATTGTACTGAAAGTTCCACTGAGGAAAAAGGAAACTATGGGAAAACATGGGATATTCTGATCCAGTATCTATCAATGTTCAGAAAAGACTACTATAGAGTATTTAATGATGTTGAAACAAAACAGGGTGAATAAAAAAATTGAATCATATTGAGCAGATTTAAAGCGAAACGATCGAAGCCCTCAAGGCTATCTGCTCATTATTGGATCAGGTCTACGCGTTTTGGACGCATTTTGGACGCACTCAAGGCTATTTGATGCCGATGGGATTCCAGGCTTATTTCTGATCAACCAGCACCACCACAATCACCATGATTGTCAACATTGTCATCATTGTCAACATTGTCATCATTGTCATCATTGTCATCATTGTCATCATTGTCATCATTGTCATCATTGTCACCATCACCATCACCATCACCACCATCACCATCATCATCATCACCATCATCATCATCATCGCCATCATCACAAGCATTATCATCACCATCGTCATCATCATCATCATCAAAATCATCAAAATCATATATATACATATGTATAAGTATAGTATATACGATTTTACGATGTATCACGTTATATCCTAATTTAATATTATAGCCGTTGTCTGATGTATATGTTTCACATATCGTCACCATTACCTTCCTAGTATTCCTGGTACTCAAATCCCTTCATATCATCTTGGGTTTGCTTCTAGATTCCCCAAATGGTGGATTTCCCATGTGGGAGAATAAAACATCACCCGAAACAAAACTATGTCATTTAACCATAATAGATTCTGATCCCATGACAACCTCATTCTGATCACCACATACTGCCATTCTGTTCTTCAAAACTCACGGCACCTTCAGGTTCTCTAGTGGAACTTTCGGCACCTCGCGATGAGTCGTGGGAGGAACCTTTTGACCGATGTGAAACCCTCAGTGCTCCTCCCAATGGGTATGGGTCTACAGGTTGGGTATATATGGATATGTGATCAAGGTACAAAGGTAGTGATGATCCCATCCCTTTGCCGTGGGTGGGTGGGGAGTGGGGAGTGGGGAGGGGATTGGGCCCACCCATTTGGGGGTGGGGCCTAGTGGCCGGAGGACGGGATCTTATATATATTATATATATATATATATTATAGCGAAACACTGTGGTATCAGCACCCGCTGCAAGATGGAATGGCAAACAGCGAGCACCAACTCTTTCACAGGGCACTTGAGCCAAAAGTCCGGATCATGGAAAGGTGATCCCCTGACCCACTGGACGGCTCAACGACATGTCTTTATGTCTCAGTGCATGTACAAGCTGTAAATTCCTTGAGTTACATGTTTGATGTAAAACTGCCCACAGGACGAGGGTATGGCCCGGAGGGCCATACCCGAGAGCGGAGCTAGCACCTCATTGGTTCCATCATTCCAGTGCCAGGGGATTTCCTTGTCATAACATTTCCTTGTCATAATCTCCCGGCCCCATGGAACATATACGCATACCTCTATTAGGGGTTTCATATAGGGTACATCATAGGTTATAAAATCCCCCGGCCCCATGGAACATATACGCATACTTCTATTAGGTGTTTCATTTAGGGTTTACATAAGTTATAAAATCCGGACTGGCCAAAAAAGTCGAAAAGACTGAAAAAGTGGAAATGGCCGAAACGCGTGAAGTCCGCAGAGGGTTCACTTTTCTGACTGATTTTTCCAAAAATTCGTCTTAGACCACGCTAACTCACAGATGTACCAGAGTCATAAAACACTGCACCTGCGCAGAGAAATGAGCCTCCCACTGACGTTCATACGACCATTCCGGGACAACCCTCAGTCCTGCCCGTAAAACTGTACCAGTAGTTAATTTCATGCAACACGCATACGAGGAAGGAGCCTAAAGGCTTCACAACCAAGAAGTTGGTGACACTAACCCTTCATTTGGTGATACAACTACTTTGGCACAATTGGTACTTTTGCTTGACTTTATTCTTCTATATATATATATATATATCTATAAGAATGATTGGAACATAAATTAACACCCGAAAAAGATTTAAAACAGTGACATTCCCTCAGGAAACTTAGCGTAGCTATGGAAAATCTTCATGTTCAATAGGTAAGTCATCATGGATCATGTATAAATTTGCAACGTTCGTCCATGTTCCATCGCTATGTTCAATAACCAGAGGGTGTGTGTATATATATATCATTATATATCATTATATATCATTATATAACATTATATATCATCAAATATCATCAACATATCAATATCATCAAATGTAAACACAATTAATTGGATGACCAACCACTGCCCATTTTTCGGATGCCCAGATGCCTGTGACCTCTCCACGTTGGAGTCTGGAACCTTGCGGAGGCCATGGGTCTCGATCTGATGTGTACATATAAAACTGTCCACACTCGTGTGCATGGCATATATATATATAGTTAAAATATATAGTTATACCTAGTTATGCACATTAAATATATCACAACCTTTCACATATATCTAATCTTGCAATCATGCGGAAAGGTGCTTTAAAAAAACGGTAGATCTCTGCATCAATTCTCATTGGCACCCAGTGAACAAGGATTTCTCACTCCAAGGTCCAGCAGCTTGCCACAACTCGGGGATCCTCTTCAAGAAACGCTGCTATTTTCATCCTATTTATCAAGGGTTTCTTGAAATGGGGCTACCCTCTGGTAAACTAACATAGCCATGGAAAACCACCATTTTTAATAGGTAAATCAGCGATAAATAGCCATTTTCAATGGCTATGTTAAATTACCAGAGGCTACCCCCACATCATCCATTTTGGGTACCCCATTTATGGAAACCTCTAGGTTTCGCGGATGACAGGGCTCCGGACTGGCGACATGACAATACCCAGTTTGTATCCTGTGATTGGCCTGGCACCACGGCAACGCAAAGGTCAGCAGTTGGGGATGGATCTACTACTTACCTATTGAAATACCATGTTGACTAGGATGAGCATCCAAAGCATCCATGTTGACACCAGTTGTAATGTGAAAACCCAGGTACTGATCGGATAAATTGACCTATGGCCGCCACTTGGCGGCTGGCTTTGCCATACAACTGTGAAACCCCAATTATTTGATGGATACGCCACCTATTGCAGCATATCATACCTATCCTTAATGATTGAACATGGTTAGACCGTCCCCAAAAAGCACCCCAAATCTTCAGGGAATGTGCAGTTTACACCAACATTCGTGTTTATGCATGTTCATCCCCCCATCCTTATTGTATTTTATGGGTAACTTCATCGATTTGATCATTCGCCTAGTATCCTAGTATCCCACTCAATCCCATTTTCAGATGATTTTCCATACACTTTTCGCAGATGTACCAACTATCACTAAGATATAGTAATCCACAAAGATCGATATTTGTATTTGCAGCTTTGTACTTCGATGATGCTTCGAAACATAATTTCCAGATGTCCAACTGTTCAGGAAACTTTTTCGGACCTTATTTTTTTTGGGCGTTGCTACAAGATCAAACACCTCCACTATATCTGATTGGTGGTTGACCTACCGCTCTGAAAAATATGAGTCAGTTGGGATTACTATTCCAAATGTATGGAAAAATAAAATTCATGTTCCAAACCACCAACCAGATATGGTTCCAAATATGTGTTTTCTATCCCTGATCGATAGCTCCGTGGTTGCTGGGGGTGTTTCATCAACCTATTTCATAGCCGATTTTATGAACTATTGATGGTCATTGTATATTCATTATATGAAGCATTTATCAGATTTATCAACCTCTATTAGCGATCAAAGGTAATATAATGATATATAACGACTATAGTGATATTCTAGCAGTTCATATGTTATTATATATATATCATGTCATTGTATGTCATTATTTGTCATTGGTTTGGGGGTGTTATATCAACCTCTAATCATCGGCTATTATGAACCATTGATAGTCATTCGTAGTGTCATGACATATGAAGCATTTATCATTTATCACCACTATTAGCCTCTGGGAAACAGCCACATAACTATGGAAAGATCCACTCATTTTTAGTGGATAAATCAACTATTTCTATGGCCATGGCTTCAATAGCAGACTGTTAGTCATTACCAGAGGGTATATATATATGTATATATATATGTATATATATATGTATATATATATATCTGGTTGTTGGTTTGGAACATGGCTGGATTCTGACTTTCCATATATTGGGAAGAATCATCCCAACGGACTTTATCATCATTCATCCACCACCAACCAGCGATTCCCCATGAAACAACCACACCTGGAGTCGCCGACGACGGTCAGCCCCATCTAAGATGGGAACGCCATCGGCACGACGCCATCCAGTCGCGACGAACGGCGAAGGCGTCAACGAACGGTGCCCAACCGCAACAAACGTCCCTGTTAAGAGTGGGCTTGATGGGCTGGGTATCTCTGTGAACTGTCGAAAATATTGATGTTCAATGATGTTCATGGTTTCTGGGTATGTCTGAGATATGATTGAAATATCTTCATGTCAAAACGGATTGAGTTGGACGACCTTTGGACGTGCAGCTTGAGGTGTTGCTTGATCCTCATAGACCCAGGCCGAAAACTGCCGTGCGTGTTGCTGTGGGCCGGACCATGGCGCACCAAGTCAGAAGTCATGTCATGAAGTCATTGGGCTGTTAACTTCCAGTAAATCCCATGAAACCCCTATTAAAATACAATTGAAATGATGTTCATGATGTTTATGATTCATGAAATCCAATTTTAAAACCCTATTATTTTTTGGGCGATGATAAAATCTTGCCCCATCCTCAGGTATCCCCAGGTCCTAAAACCGAGACAAAAAAAGCATTGCCAATGACCCCCCAAATGATAGCTAAGTTGGATTTACGTAACTCCAATGTCACTATGGTTTATGAAATGTCTAACATCTAACATGTTATATATAACTAGAGTTTGAACTTTAGTATTCATGGGCTTTAACCAACAAACATTAAAAAATGGGGGGGGCCCAGTGAACAAGTTCAGTATTTCACAGACCAGGCCACAATCTGACGGGATCTGCGATGGGTTTGAAAACCCAGTGGTGGATAGTGATGGGAAAAGCCAGGCCATGGCAACCTGCTTCTTGAGTTTGTTCACCAGTCGTTCGTCCTGAGCTGAAGATGTAGCCAATTTTCTGAAAAACCCAATCGTGGGTACCATTCAAAATGGGGGGGGGTCATGTAAATTGTTCATTCATAGTGTTGGAAAATATATTACCCTCTGGTAATTTAACATAACTATGGAAAATCACCATTTTTCATGGGAAAATCCACTATAAATGGCCATTTTCAATAGCTATGTTAGTTTACCAGAGGGTAGGTGGTGATGAGTACTCCAAGTATGGTATGTTGATCAACGTTTAGCCTCAGACCGGTTTTCAGGGTGAAGATACCAGCACCATCTGGTTAACATACCAACAATGGCCCAATTTGTTGTAGCTATACCTCTTCTTGGGATGATGCATATTTCATCTCTCCTCGGCTGATGATTGGAGATGGTTTGCTGTCAATTTCCCTATGTATGCAGCAGTTAATAAACCCGCTGCAACTATCATTATCATAAAAATACTGTCAAGAATGGTTGGCTACAACAAACATCTCCATGTTTGTCCATCCCCGTTGCATTGTTATTGATCATGACTATGATCCGATCATTACGGATTGGTATTCGATCAATAGTTGGTTGACGTTGATCAATTCTCCTGTCTGATTCAATAATTCACCAAGCTGAAGGTCACTTCGGATGGTTCCCTAAACTAAAAATTTCTCACAGTGACTTCAAGAGGTGATGTCGCTTTAATTTACCTGTAGCCAATGGATAAATATGCCTATTGCTGTTGGAAAATGCATTATCACATATGATACCCTCATAGTAAACCATTGAATCCAAACATTCATCTTGTCAGAATCTACTATTCTGAAATATAATGTTTTGATATACATATCTGGTTGGTGGTTGACCTACCCCTCTGAAAAAATATTAGTCAGATTGGATCATCATCCCAACTATTGGGAAAAATAAAAAATGTTCCAAACCACCAACCAGTCATCCATATTAGTAGGATTTTCCCTTATACACCATCCATCTATTGGGTACCCCATGATATGTCAAATCCCCATGACGGATATCAGACCATACTATCCCGTGAAATATACTCTCTGGTTATTTAAGATAGCCATGGAACATGGCTCATTTATTTACCTATTAAAAATGGTGATTTTCCATGGCTATGTTAAATAACCAGATGGTACCCTTTAAAAATCCTCCTGAAATATTCCTATATTGGTGGTGAAATATCGCCATGACATACCCCCAAATTTGATAGTTGAGTCATATTCCCCTTAGACAAATTCCCAAATTTACTGGTGGTCAAATCCCCATCCATATCATAGTGCCATCAGCTATGGTGAATTCCAATTAAAGAATGGTAATATTGGCTGCTTATATCTATATCTACATAATTCTACATATACATACATTTATACCATAGAAAATAATAGAAAATACTCCCCATATGTCTTGCTTTCTGTTTCCCGTGTGTTTTTTTTGCTAAACTTTGGTTCGCCGTTCGCCTCAAGAGCTTCCTCAACATCCTCAACATCCGCTTTTCGCCAGGCCCTGACCCAGATAAAAATCGGTGGGCTATCCCAGTTAAAAGTCTACCCGGCCTGGTAAACATACCATTAAAACATAGTGAAAATCCATGGCTATGTTAAATAACCAGATGGATCCAGATGGTAACTATGGAAAGATCCACCCATTTTGAGTGGGTAAATCAACTATTTCGATTGGGCCATGGCTTCAACAGCTATTTGACACATTACCAGAGGGTTTTTCGGATTTTTGTTGGGGATCATTGGGATCAAAGCATCAAAATCGGGTGATCCATATGCTCAACACAACTCGAGTCGTCTGACTGTCGGATAAAACGTTGATGGATTTTTCTTCGATCAACACATTGGATTGGATGATGGTTGTCATCCATGGTCAGAGCAGGTCATCCCGATGGGTATTCCAACAAGAAAGAGACCATGGGATATGTGGAAGGCTGACCATCGATGGTCATATGGATACCCTCTGGTAAACTAACATAGCCATGGAAAATCACCATTTTTAATAGGCAAACCATCTATAAATGGGTCATTTTCCATGGCTATGTTAAATTACCAGAGGATAGTATCTCGGGAGTAGCTATAGAATGGGAAAAGTCAGAGCAGGTGTTCTTGAAATGAGAGACTTTATAACCATTTACCGCTATCGTGAGAATGGGGGAAATGACAATTCACGCAAACATATGAATCAAGGGGAAACAAATTCCAATATATTCTCTGGTTATTCAACACAGCTATGGAACATGGGCCGTTTATAAATGAGTTATGATTATTTATCTTGTAGAAATGCTGAATTTCGATAGCTACATTAAAAAAACCAGATGGTAATTACAAGGAAATCCACGGGAAAGGACTTGGACTTTCCAGAAACTGGGGGGAAACTGGGGCTTCCCGTTTTTAGACGCACACCGCAAACGGGTCGACCCGGCATCCAGAATAGAAAAGCCGGTTGTAAACCAAATATCGCAAGGTTTTTATGCGACTTCCACTGTTTTGCTGGTTATATCATGTTATATCCCCATGTTTTTCTCGATTCTTTGGGTTCTTCGGTGGTTAACATCCACGAACCGCCCGCCTCTTGGAGGGCTTTTTGCCCTGTTTCTGCACCTGGACAGACTAAGAACGTTCGCGAGTTACATTAGGTCCTTGATCCGGAGCGATTGCGAAGGCAGTCACTAAAGTGGCCTGGTATACCCTCTGGTAATTTGTCACATAGCTATTGAAAATGGCCATAGAAATAGTGAGTTTTCCCATGAAAAATGGTGATTTTCCATAGTTTTTTTGTATGTTTACCAGGCCGGGTAAGTACAACTTGTCATTTTTGGGCATGGATCAGGGGTATGGGGGCTTTATTTTGATCGCCTGTGGGTGTTTTCGGACAATTTTCAACCTCAAGTTCCAGTCAAGTGGTTAGTTTATAGGGGTTCCCCTATTGGATTATTATAATCCCAAATATATGAAGGGCGGGTAGTATAATCCCCCAACTAAACATCAACCAACAGAGGTTTTGAACACTGCTCAAGTGATGGTGATGATTTGTGGTATCAATGGGCAAAATGTTGTGACATGGTGTATCTGGGTCATGTGTCATGAGCATTCATGAACTGGAGAAAGACCGGCAAGGCAAATTAATTTGATTTGGAATTTAACATCCAGTTCAGCAACTATATCAAACTAATCATAAAACAATATCATACACCAATTAAACCAGTTAGTAAATATCTAACTTTAGTAACTATAAACTATATATATATAAACAGTCACTAAAATCTATCATAAACCACCTGTATTGCTGATGGTTTATCCCATCAACAAATGCTAAGTGCTTGGGGATGGTGAATCCTATTGCCTGACTAACATCTCAAATGGTAGGCATGGACCTCATGGGCCTCATGGATCAAAGTTCAACTTGCCAATCCGCACCAGATGGAGGTTTCCTATGGGGATACCCCCATAGCTGGATGGTTTTTTGGAAAATTTCTCTAGAAATGGATGAGAACTGGGGGGCATCCCTATTTTAGGAAACCTCCATATAATCATCTTGTATGACTTCCAATCATTGCCAAGTCTGAACAACATATTAATTATGTGAGTCATCACTAGGGAAATGTATGACTCTTTCCATTCTCAGAATTTCAGACATCCAGAAGATTGATTTCAATCCACATCAATCAGGGTGCAGTTGAAGTTATTTAAATGGGTTTTGGTATCTGTAAACATAGGATCTCTTTCATGATCGATAGCAACTCCCAACAAATCGAACCGTAAAAACAAACTCGAATCAACCAACTATAGAATAGTGAAAAACTATAACACATATGGGGGTTTCCATAAATGGTTAAATGGTGATGCCCCAAATGGATGGTTTATAATGGAAAATACAATTCAAATGGATGAAATGAGAACTGGGGGTACCCCCATGACTTTGGAAACCTCCATCATATGGCTATGGATCAATACCTATACATACCATTTTTAGGGGGATGAACATCCATTTTCCAGCTATTTTGATGTTCACCAGGGGGATAGGGTTTTGACCCATCCCCATATACTTGTTTATCCTTCTAGGGTTTGATGATGCCCATTGCTCACCCGGGCCCCGGCACCTTTTTTCCCTTCTCAAGCTTCCCCTTTTTGCTCCCCATGACCTGCTCCAGGGATCTTTGGTGGAAAAGTCACTGTTCTTCACAGAAGAATTCGACTAAAACCTCTGTGATAAAAATCACCTAAGATCACCTATATATTCCTGGAAAATTTAGCCATATAGCTGCGCTATATCCCATGTATTGTTGGGTTATATGGAAGTTTGAAGGGGTATTACCATCTTTGTCAGCTCTCAACACCACAAGCCTGTGCCTGGGAGTGCGACGCCCCACAACAACCCGGTGCTGAAGCGGTTGCGGTTTCAGATGGTCGCGGAATTGCGGGTCTCGGTCCATGGGTTTGGCCATAAACCTACCGTAATTGGGGATTGGTGAATCCCACATCATGCCCAATTCCAATTGCAAAACTCACTTTTTTCCAGTCATTTTGGAGATTATCATTATGAAAAAATGGGTAGATCCCAAGTTTTTTTCATTCCAATTGATTATCATTGACAAGTTGGAATCTACTGAATCTACTCATTTTTTTGGGTACACCATGGTATATCTCACTTTGGACACACCCGCACGGCCTGAAAAGCAAACAACAATGCACCAGGCAGCCTTGCGATGGTCTCTCAAATCTTAGATACCTGCCAAAACACTATTTTTTTGCCTGGTCAGTACATTTTACCATAGCAAAAGATTCAAGTATTAAAGTATCTGACCAGTCGGTTGACCCAGATGTTGTGCTAAATTCTTTGAGGCAACCAGAGTGCAGTTTGCACCGACTTCACGTTCTCCACTTTTTGCACGGGCAAGTCTAACGTGAATCGTCGCTTCAATGATTGCAACTTTGGCAGCTCAAAGAAAGTCCTTTTTGCTCCGTGCCTGATGGCTGAGGCTCACAAAGGTTACAAACTGTGGGCTTTGTGGGGACCTTGAGAATCCCTTTAAAGGCTTCAGGTTCTTTGCCAAATATATGCAAGTATATATATATATATATATCTGTGTGTGTAATGCATGTATAAATATTATATATTTTCGTAAATGAACTTGTGTATATATAGTATGCACAACATATATGATATACTCTATAGATCCCTCTCTCTCTATATATATATATATTAAAAGCGGACAAAACTACTTGTTTATTTTCATGCCATGCACAAATTAGGGTCGTTTCCTATCGGTAGTGAGGATTTCAGCAAAACTAAATTACTATTACAATAATTTTGTCGCTTACTCATGTATATATATATATATAATTATATATACACCCTCTGGTAAACTAACATAGCGAACTGGACAATCACCATCTTTAAGTTTGGTAAATCAACTATAAATCAACTATAAACTGGTTGGTGGTTTCAATCCCTCTGAAAAATATGCTCGTCAGTTGGGATGATTGTTCCCAATATTCATATATGGAAAAAAAGGAAAATTCATGTTCCAAACCACCAAGCAGCTATAAATCAACTATAAATGTGCCATTTTCCAAGAAATTCCCAGAGGGTGGCATCTCAAACAGCAGTTTTTGGCTGAAAAGTTCCGAGTAGGTCCCCATGATTTTCCGAGTGGTCCCCAGTCGGCCTAATAGTATCTAAAAACGTAACATTCATGTCATTCATGTACCCGAAATATATCAGCAATATCAGCACTCAGCACTATATTTGATTAAAACATATTAAAACCTCCATATATATATATATATGTATAATTATAGATATATATATATATAGTCATGATTCGAGTCATGATTTTCCGTCCAAGTTGATCCCCCTTCATCCCAAGGGTTCCCGCCTTAGCTCTGCCGGCTCTGCCGGCTCCGGGCGAAGAGGACAGAAGCAATGCCGCGCCCGGCATCTGCCATGGATTCGTCCCCATGGTGTGATGGAACACATTTTAGTTTAAATGGGGATCTGAATATGAATGGATAGTTTTTTTCTGATAAAAAATGGTTAATATCATTTAATATCCCATGTTTATAATATTTTATAATATCCATTATCCCATGTTTTCTACAGATGGCAATCAATTGTTGCAGTTTGTATGCCATCTGTAGAACTAAAATGCAATCAATTATTCATCTAAGTATTGTTGCGGTTTGTAATTATGCAATTATTGCAGCTGTTGCAACAATCAATACTTAAATTGGAATCAGGGAAACATCGTAGTAATTCATCGCAAACAGAGGCAGTGGTAGACCAAGACGGGGTGATTGATAGTCACGCTGATCTCTCAGGACCATCTGTTTGGATCTTGGGTGCGTCTGAAAGTGTAGCATATCCTTCTGAAATGTCCAGTTTTACACCGAAAAATGATGATAAACCGGTGAGTGGACTTGAGGTATACACAATTTTCAAACAAACCCCATACCTCAAACAAGCCCCATACCCTTCGGAAGTCAAATATGTTTAGCTGTATTTCGCTGGGAAAAACATTTTCCAGCAACCCATGTGACTGATGGCATGTGAGGGTATCCCTCAGATAAACCTGGAAACTCATTAATACTCCATCAATATCCCATTAATCTTCCTACCATGGAGTATTAATGGATTATTCAAGGAAACCATTATCTCATGAATATTAATTGATTATTCATGGACAATGATGGTTGGACTCTATTATTTGGTTATATGGGTTTGTCTGAAAATATTGTATCCCAAAAATGATACTTTCTCATCATTTTCCCTATTAAACACCATTTTCAAGGGATGCCCCATTTCCGGACACACCCATATCCTCACTCCTTCAGTATCTCCATTGATTGAAGATTAATAGTAATTATAATTGTAATACTCCATCCTATGAATATCCCATTAATAATCAGATACAAGTTCCATTATCTTCTTCTGATTATTAATGGATAAACATGGGATAATGGATATTATAAAATATTATAAACATGGGATATTAAATGATATTAACCATAATTTTATCAGAAAAAAATATCCATTAATATTCAGATCCCCATTAAAAAATATTAAAAAAAACGACCAGTTTCTCCGATCGCCTGCTGCATCTGCATCCAGCGTAAGAAGGGATTGCCTCGGATCTGATCCTGCAGGCTCCACGAGGCTGGTCAGGACTGTCAGGACTCGGGACCCATATATTGGTTATGACTAACATAGCCATGGTATAGATGGCCCATTTATAAATGATGTTCCCAGCTATAAACCTCGATTTATAAGGGATTTTCCATTATAACCCATGACGGATCCATGGGGCTGCTATTTGTTTGGTGACATAGATCCCATCCCATCAATAAAAACCCCAGTCCTGTTGGCTAGATTATGAGACTGGTTTATCCAATCCGATTAGTAACTTCAACTACACTTAGTAACATGTTTTGTAAATTCAACTATACTTAGTAAACGCATGAACCCAACTAGTAAACAGATCAATGGGAATTTCAGGATCCTAAAATGGAGGTACGTTAGTACTATATTTTCTGGCCATATGTTGTTGGGATATTCCCTTACATAAGCCAAAAATTACTTTACTTCGTGTGATCCCCACCATGACATTTATACATTTTCATACTGGCAAATCTTCTGGCATTCTATCTGACATATCTTCTGGCATTCTATCTGGCATTCTATCTGGCATATCTTCTGGCATATCTTCTGGCATTCTATCTGGCAAATCTTCTGCCATTCTATCTGGCATATCTTCTGGCACTCTATCTGACATATCTTCTGGCATTCAATCTGGCATTCTATCTGGCATATCTATCTGGCATATCTTCTGGCATTCTATTTTCTGGCATTCTATCTGGCAATATCTTCTGGCATTCTATCTGGCATTCTATCTGGCATATCTTCTGGCATATTATCTGGCATTCTATCTGGCATATCTTCTGGCATATATTCTGACATCTCTTCTGGCATTCTATCTGGCATTCTATCTGGCATTCTATTTGGCATTCTATCTGGCATATCTTCTGGCATATCTTCTGACATTCTTTCTGACATTCTTTCTAACTTTCTTCTGCACATTCTTTGTCCCATATCTTCCTACATGAGGTCCGGCAGGGAACACTTGGCATGGATTCCCGCGGTTGAGGTCCGGCAGGGAACACTTGGCATGGATACTCGCAGATGAGGTCCGGCAGGGAACACTGGGCGTGGCTGGTCGTGGTTGAGGTCCGGCAGGGAACACGTGGTTGAGGTCCGGCGTGGCTGGTCGTGGTTGAGGTCCGGCAGGGAACACTGGGCGTGGATGGTCGTGGTTGAGGTCCGGCAGAGAACACTGTGGATCGCGGGTCGCAGTTGAGCAAGGACGACGAGGACGACGAGGACGACGAGGACGACAAGGATGACAAGGAGGACGAGGAGGACGAGGAGGACGAGGAGGACGAGGAGGAGAGGAGGAGGAGGAGAGGAGGACGAGGCAGGAGGAGGAGGCAACTGACATAAAATCTAACAACCCTCACCTGGCAGGTGGGGAAAAAATAGGCCTTATATATGGTAGGTACCTGCAACTTAGGTTCCTGAAATTGCCATTGATTATAGGGAAACCATAATATGACCCTGGGGATACAATTCTATTCATTATTATGAATCCTTAAAGTTATATAGAATCTTAAGCATAATCCTTATTGTCAAATAAGTATTGGCAATGGTTTATACTAATCATTGATCATGGTTGATAAATCTCAGTTATTGTGCATAGTCAGTTGTTACATAATTATGACTTATCGGTACATAATAAATGACAATGGGTAATACAAAGAGCTTGGATTCACTAAGTATTTAAGATAGAAAATACGAGGTAATTATTTTGTTTTGTGATAATCATTTTCAACTATTGATATCAATTACATATGATTGTTGTTTCTCTACATTCAGTAATGAGCCCGCAAATAAAAAATAACCTTAGACTGGGAATACGATCCAACATTTCAGAGCCGACGCCCCAGAAGAGCACACTTCCTAATTGATCATTGATATACCAACCAACCCCATTGATGATTAAGCCATTGATTAAGCATTATTCCATTGATTAAACCCATGAGTTAAAGCCACTAAATCTTTATTAATGATCATGCCACACACACACACACATATATATATAACCTGTATGTCATTGATCACATACATCACACTCCCTAATATCACAGTCCATTAAAGTAAATTAACCATATATATATATATATATATTGATATTATAACCTCCTTGGTTTAGGCTTAAAATTAACCATATATTGGTATAGAAACCATACATTGATATTGATAAAATAAATATCCATTGGTTAATCATATATGATCAATATATATATATATATGTTCAAACCATTATCCATTTGTTAATCGTATTCTTATTGATATTAATATATTATATATAGATATTGCCATATATTGATATTACCACATATCGGTTAGTTAAAATTCACTAACGGATGAATATCCATTCATCAAAACTATGAAGAATGATATACTATTAAATACAGATATACTACCATTTAATACCCTTTAGTTAATTAACCATTGATATTGATATTGATATTGATATATATATATATATATATTATGAGATGGTTAACCAATTAGTTTGTATGTATGTATGTATGTATATATATATTTGTTAATTAAGCATATATTGATTATCCGTTAGTTCATTAACCACATCCATTAGTTGATATTCACCATTAATACCAATGGTTGATGATACAAATTAGTCATTAACCAATTCGTAATCTTGATATATTTAACCATAGTTGGTTAAACCACAGTAATACGTGATATAAAGTAAATATCCATTAGTTGCTTAATATCCATTAGTTGCTATTTATCTACCATTAACCATATATAAAAACCAACTGATGAACCAACTGATAATAATAATCAACATTAATCCACTAAATCCAATGAACTCCACATTTATGATTCTTAAATCTCCATATTTATCATGGTTTATTATCCTGTTGATTTAACCATTGGATTTAGTGGATTTATGATTATTTATACTAATTATCATTGTTTAACCATCGGAAGTTATTCCATTGGAAGTTAATCCTGTTGATTGATAGTATCAAGAGCTATGACTGACGGTTTGTCAAAATGTCTTCTCCCGGTTTGGTTAAATAATGTTAAATACACATCATATATACACATAATACACATAATAGATATACCCATACTATGTACATATATATGTATATATGTATATATATATGTAATATATTGGTTAAACATGGTTAAACCATATATTCGTTGGTAAACCAACCCCCCCTCTCCTGCACCATCTTCGCCGCTGCTTCCGCCCGCCGCGCCGCCTCGCAACAGGCCGGCGGCTGCGCGGCGCAGCCGCCGTTGTCCTGCTTGGACGGACAGCCGCTGTAGTGGTTTCACTAGAAAAATTGTGCAATTTCACAATGCTTTATAGGGGTTTTACGGAAATTTATGGGGTTTCGTGGGATTTAATAGGGATTTCATTAAATTTTATAGGTTTGTAGGGTTTTAGAGCGAATTACAGGATTTTAGAGGGATCTAATGGAATTCTACAGGGATGTAATGGGATTTTGGAGGATAGAATGGAATATAACCACCAATTGATGATGCCCTCCGGTAATCAAACATGGCTATAGCTGAAAGATCCCCTATAAATGGAGGTTTCAGTGGAACAAATCATAAAAATTGTAGATTTGCTATGTTGGACTACCGGATGGTAAATCAATGATATATATATATATATTTATTTAAACAGCGGTTTTCTCCCACTCAAATAGGTGATTATGAACAAATGGGGGTTTAGACCAATGTAAGTTGGATTCAACTGCCCAACATGCAGCTTTAACCAGCAAAAATTGGGATCGGACCAGCAAAAAGTAGGAGCGTACCATAAACAAAAAATAAAAGGTTGGTGGTTTCAACCCATCTGAAAAATATGCTCGTCAGATGGGATGATGAAATTCCCAATATGATGGGAAAGTCATCAAATTCCATGGTTCCAGTCACCACCAACCAGGCATTAATCACCATTAACCAACATCATTAACCATTATTATCCATGATTATAGATGTTTACCACCATGTTTACCATTAACCATTATTATCCATGATTATAGATGATTTACCAATTATAGATGGTTAACCATCATTAACTATCATTTACCACCAACCAATCAAAAGGTTTACCATCTAAATCTTGGATTCAAGCTGCAAAAAATGGTGAAGGTTTACCCCATCGAAACTGATGGTTTAACCCGCAAACTGGTGGTGATTTTCGTGGTGATTCCATCAAGATGGGGACTACCTAAGGGGCTACCTAACCAGAAAACATCCCAGATGCAACCATATTACTTGGAGATTCTGTACGGATATGTGATTGGATATGCTTAAGCATCCACATTTGCTTTATATATATATAATATTGTATTATATTGTCATTTGATGGCAGATGCCCAGCTTGTCTGGCTTAAGCTGCCATATGTTTGTTCTTAAATCATCAAGTTTGATCATCAAAGCACCATGACTCCATGGTTAAACTGTTAAACCACACCTTTTGATAGTTAGATACATAATTTTTGTGGTTAAGCGTCAATTGTTCATGGTTCGATCCCTAATATATGGTGCCATGATATTCCTATGAAATCTAAATTTCCCACGGATAAAGCTTCATTTTTCACCGTTAAACCAACTTTTTCTTGCAACTCCAATTTTTTCATGGTGAAATCCCAAATTTCATGGGTAAATCCCCATATTTCATGGTGAAATCTATTTTTTTCATGGGTAAATCCCAATTATTCATGGTTAAATTCAAACTTTTCATGGTGAAATCTAATTTTTTCACGGTGAAATCACAATTTTTCACGGGTAACCAACCCTTTTTTGGTGGGTTCCCCCGCACCGCGCGTTCCACGTTCGTTCCGTCCTTCCCCAAGCCCTCGCGGCGGCGGATTTCCATTTCAGCTCCCACCGCCGGGCAGCTGGCGCGCGCCAGTTGAGCCTGAGAATACCATGAAAATATATTGCCATTGATCTACAATTCCCATAGGATCCATGGTGCTGCTATGGTGACATGGATCCCATCAATATACCCCAGTCATGTTAGCATATATACCAGCACCATGGATCCGTCATGGGATTGGGTAAATGGATCAATTCCATTAGCTGATGTCTGATGTTTGGATCTAACATGATCTAAGAATTTGTTGGATTTCAGACAGCTATAAATTTCACGATTCATCACGATTGTTGATGAAATCAGGCAGCTTCCAGTTTTCCTATGGGTTTTCCTATGATTTTCCTACGGTTCAAGAGTTTTCCTACGGTTTTCCTATGGATTGTTTGGGGGGCCTCACCTTTGTACCTCCAAAATCGCTTTGAAAATCACTGAGCATCTGGCTGGTCGTAGCTTGGGACAATTTCCTTCTGGAAGTGATGGAGCTGCCGCGGTCACGAAAATTGTTCAAGGCCCAAAAATCTCAGCAGTTTCATGTAGTTTTTTTCTGCTGATAATACATATATATATATATATTCATACATATTAATATTATATATATATATATAAGAATCGAGAATCGAGGATCGAGAATCGAGGATCGAGAATCGAGGATCGAGAATCGAGGATCGAGAATCGAGGATCGAGAATCGAGGATCGAGAATGGGGCTTGTGAAGCCGGGTCTGAGATATATATATATATATATATTTGTGATGGATATTCTGAAAATAAAGATGGATGTTCTGATCTATAAGAATCTCAACAGTTCCATAATATGATGGAGATTCTTAGGTTTTTTTTTCCGATCATATGGATATTCTTAGTGATTTTCTACAGTTTAATTCTTGTTCATCCGACATTGGTGAAAAGAATGTTTCCGGAACCATTTCCCTAGATGTTCAATGGATGTGGCCGTGTCCGAGCTACAAGAACGGAGAAGGCGTCGTCAAGAAACGCGAGCGTTTTTCATGTCATTGGATTATTTTTGACATCTTCATGAGATAGCTATGAGATAATTAACTATCCCATAGGATCCATGTATGCTATATATGGTGACATTTACCATCAATATACCCCAAATGTTAGCATATATACCAGCACCATGGATCCTATGGGTATGGGATAACTAATGTGCGATATTTGTATGGGATATGATAGGATGATGACTGACGAATTGAAGCCAACTCCATTTGTGATGCTTCATGTGATGACCACGAGAAAACCCGTTTTTTTCATAGATGACAAGGCCGAAGAATTCCAAATCTCTCTATATATGATGTACGGTATATACGTACTATAGATGATCCATTTGGTAATTTTTGGTAATGAAACACTGTTTATTCTATGGGATGCTCATGGGATTTTGCCCATTAACTGATGCAGGATTTCGCAACCATCCATAGTATGTTTTGATGTAGTATTACATGTCCTTTTTTTGAAGGTGTTTTCCCATGTTTTCCCATGTTTTCCCATCAGATGTTTCCACAACTGACAGGTAAAACCTAGATGTAGATGTGGAAAACCTATCGGTTTGCCTTCGGAACATCATCCACAAATGGTTGAAGTTTCCACATCTTTCTGTTTGTTCACCCATGTTGGTATCCAGCAGCAGCACACCTTGAGCTTCCTCTTCATGGGATCCACCCAAGCCCAGCGACCAGAAACTGCTTCGATGTCCTGTCGTACGAAACCGCGACAAGTTGGGGGCCACATAACTCCGTTATTTCACGACGGTTTATGATACGTAAATAACGAACTAGTTCATGGATGTTCATGGGGTTTATAAAGCAACAAAAATAACTGAGGGGGGGCCCACATTGTAGGAACTGCAACCATGAAAATGAAACCACCGGCAAATCTCTACTAGATTTCAAGAGATGTAGCTGGGATGTGTTAAGCTTGAAAATCCGATTGTTGTCCAGGCGCGGGGTTGGCATTCTGGTAGATTTTCCCGTTAGACAAATTCTGGGATTGGAGTTCTAGAAGTATGGAATGTGTTCACTTACCCTCTGGCAATCAAACATGGCAACGGGAAATCGCGCACTTATAGCCACACAAAAACATGTTTAGGGGATTTTCAATTTCTATGTGTTCTTACCACAGAGTAAATAAAAAATAGAGCATCATACCATTGTTGCTGGAGAAATCATGATAACAGTACTGAAAAAATCACGATTTTGTTGGATACCCTCTGATAAACAGCCACATAACTATGGAACATCACCATGTTTAATGGGTAAATCCACTATTTCTATGGCCATTTTCAATAGCTATATGTTAGTTTACCAGAGGATAAATCTGGCTGAATTGCAATAATTCAGCCGCTGGGGATGATTCCCCGCAATTCAACCATGCTCCAGTGATCCAGTGATCATCAGATTGATGGAGTAATGGATAAGTAACGGAGATTTTTCATTAATAACATTAATAGAATGGATTAATATAAAATATAGTTATATATTAAACTATAGTATAACTATCAAAATGAATAGAATATATAACATTAATTAATGGGTAATTCATGGTGATTAATATATGGTGATTAATCATTATATATCATTATGCAACCAAAATTAACCAACATTAATCACCAGTAATCACCCCACATTAACCCACATTACCCTCCAGTAAATTGACATCTGGCTGAATTATAATATTTCGTGGTCGTTGGGGCGATTTTTTAGTTTCAAAATTGAAATAAGGTCTGCGTCGCAAGAAATCTTGAAATTTGTTTTACGTCATAAAGGGTATTGCAAACCACACCTAATGTTGTGTAAAGGGTAAAAGGGTACAGTAGGCTACAATTATAAGAGACCCGCAAATAAGAGCTGCTTGAGAATGTCTGAGCATACCATCCTTTACCAATTTTTCAGTTCAAGGATTTTTGGGGCAAGCGTAATGTTTCAGCCATGCCCCGGCATGTCTTGCAATCGTGCGAAGCATGCCCAACTCACCCGTGCTAAAGGAGATATGGGACTTGGGCGCGCAATGATTTCTGAGGGCGTTCAATTTGAGCTTTTAACGGCGCGAAAAACTTGCTCCCTCAAGTGCTTCCTTTTATGTCTGGTTGCGTATCACGAATCTTATCAAAGGGTGGAGAAAGGTGGTTTTTTTCCTGTTTCTGCTCATTGAACATGGCCCATTTACTTCGTTGATTTACCGAACTTAAAGATGCTGATGTTCCAGTTCACTATGTTACCCTCTGGTAATTTAACATAGCTATAGAAAAACACTATTTTAATGGGAAAATCCACTATAAATGGCCATTTTCAATAGCTACGTTAAATTACCAGAGGGTATCCACTAAATTGGCGGCTTCTCCCCATTGGCACCTCTGGGGGCCATCAAGGCATCCAAGAGACCAGTGGAATGCCCCATTTTTGGCCACCTTGGAGCTGAGACGATGGAGAAATGATAGGATCATGGTTGTAAAACACCCCAAAGATGCAGAACAAATATGTGAAATGAGCTGGTTATGTGTGGTCCAATTTGATAGATATGTCCATTTCACATCATTTCACTGTTCTACCTATTTTTTGGGCTGCTCTACCCAAAAAATGCAGACTTTTGTGAATTATCCCATGACTTTTGGTGCTTATTATGTACACATGCGGAAAATCATCCAGAAATGATGGTTTGGTGGATCAGCCTTGACAAAAATATGAGTCAAATGGAGGTGACCAGAAAACAGTTGAAACCGCCAAGCTGTGTCATGTCGCCCCTCAGCAACTTTCAGTTGAATAATGGGGCTATGGTCAATAGAGCAGTGTTCAAACCTGCCACGTCATGAACATAAAATACATTGAAATACTGCTCGGTTAGTAGGAAATCACAGGTCATTCATTACCCATAAGATCCATGGTGCTGGTATATATGCTAACATGACTGGGGTATATGGTAAATGTCACCATATATAGCAGCACCATGGATCCTATGGGTTAAGGCTTTGAACACCCCTGGCACCTGGGATTTGCTGAAGGAACCCCAAAGAACAAAAACATCTTCCCTATAGATTCCTGGATTTCCAAGTGGGAATATGAAACATATCATCCACCTCAGCTTAAATCCAGGTAGCTTATGTCAGATGGTTGCGAAATCCGGTTATCACCAGTTCATAGGTGGTAGCCACATCCCATTGTTTATAGGCTTTTAACCATTCAAGATGGTGCAGGATTTCGCTGGCCCATCCACAGGTCATGTTCACCCTCCCATGTTCCCCGTCATGTTCAGCGACGCACCTCGCCGGGCCCGTAGGGACGACCCAGCGTGTCGCGTCAACTCATCTCGAACCAAATGGGCGCAGTCACTGACCGAGTGAAATGAGGTGTTTCTCTATTTCCGATGAGCTTGCTGCAGCAATGAGGAATCTACAGGTTACCAATTTCAGGCGATAAAATAGGATAAAAGCACATGGAAGCTTCAAGTGAACGTGTGCGAGTCTACTGGAACAAGATCGAGCAGGGCCTTTCTATGTGTCAAACAATGTGACCCAAAAGCCATCCGAATTCCTCGCATTGTGTAAGCCATCCGAATGTGGCTATCCATTTCCTCGTTTTGCGGATCAGACAGGCAAACGGGTTTGCATTGGGTTGGTGGATGCACCGAATTCATTGAAAAAACTCTGCTAATGTCACACAAGCCACGCAAGCCGAGCGATGTCATCTCTTGTAAAAATCAGCTGAGCATATGGATGGTCAAATGAAGGAACTGTTCAGGGTTTTCTCCAGATGTAGGAGACAGAGCACATCACCCTTGCAAACTTTGGCGCTTGTCCTCTGGCGCCAAGCATTTTGCATCGATTTTGCAGGGTCAGGGTGTTTCACGGTGTTTCCATTTTTTTTAACTTACAACATTCCCATGAGATTCCATGATATGGGTTTGTCTGAAAATGGGGTATATTCCCAATTATAGCCATTAAATAGGGATAATGATCATTGACCATTGGGTTTAGGGGTACACTATTTTCAGACAAATCCATATTCCCATAACCGGGTGTAGGGAGTGACCACATATCCTGACTGGGACCAGAGACGTCGATCACCGGCGCGGAACTTCTCAGCGGAGGGGCGATCCCCAACCTGGCCGTCACCAGCGGAGGGCCCCGTCAATGGTGTCCCAGCTTTCCCAATTGAAAACTGTCCGATAGGGTCACTCATGGAACATCTAATTCAAAAGGGTCACTATTGGAGAATTATTGGATTAGATTATGTTCGATCAATGGAATATGCAATAACCCAAAGGATCCATGTATGGTATATATGCTAACATGACTGGGGTATATTGATGGGATCCATGTCACCATATATAGCAGCACCATGAATCCTATGGGGGTGTCAATGGTGTCCATAATTTGGGGGGATCTCATTTTCAGCGAAGGGTCTGGCAAAACTGCTGGTAAAAAGCTCGGAAATCTGATCACCATCAATGTTTGTCCAGAAAGGGGATATATGATATACTAGTATACCCTCAAAAAATGCTATTTACTGGTCAACATGATCATCAACCAGATTATATTTTTGGGGGGTGGTCATAAATTTTCGGGAAAAAAAAACATGCCAGGTAGATCCTAATGGAAATAAGAAAATGTGAGGCAAAACCAACAGCCAGCAGGAGTTCTCAAGTTGGGATCATCATGACTAAGCAAATAGTTATTCATTCTTTAGGTTAAAAAATCCCATCGTTGTGGCAGGATGTTCTTTGATCCCTGAAAAATATCATGACATTAATTCATCTTTTATGATTGTTGGTTATCTTACCATGATTTCTTGGTTGCTTCATGTTAATTCTGTCCTCTCGAGATATGCTCGAATGATTCTTCCAAGTCCGATATGAGTTGGTTCTGAAAGCTGGTTTTTGGATGTTGAGCAATCATTGGATTTGGGTCAAAACCGACTCCCAAAAGCATGGGTACAATGGTGGGGCCCCCCAGTGATGTTTGTTGGTTTATAAGCCCCATTAACTATAGTTAGAAGTACCATAAACCATAGTTATTGGAGTTATAAACCAACTTAGCTATCTTGGGGGCCCCACATTGTATGTGAACATCACCAACACACTCTGTTCTCAAAGGCGGCAGGGTATCTCAAGGATTGAATCCGTGAGAAAAGAACTTGCTTTCCGAAACAGTCAGACTGGCATCCTTTTCGGAAAATTGCAGGGGCCGATTCAGTATACCATTACATATCATTAGAACATAATACAATTCGTATATCATGAAATCAATAATACCATGCATTTATTGATTTATTGGGTATACCGTTCAACCATTTATTATGATGGCTATACCGATCTATAAATGGTTCAATAAATATGGTTTATATTAGGGTATTAGTTAGATGCAATTTTGTGAATTAAACCAACATATGCAGGATGGGGGCCCCATAGTTGGCTAAGTTGGTTTATAACTATAGTAACAAGTTGGTGTATGATACTTATAACTATATTAAGATGGGGCAGTTGGTTTATAACTCCAATAACTATGGTTTATGGTACTTCTAACCATAGTTACTGGGGCTTATAAACCAACTTATAACTGGGGGGGCCCATCCTGCATGAATTCTTCCAGTGGTTGACCTTCGCTGCGTCGCGGCAAGCGTGGCACCCTGGCGGCCTCGGCCACTCACCGAAGATGGTACCCGGAGTCGTGGCTGGTATAGCTGGATAGTAATATATATAATATGTATATAGAAATATATATAGTAATATATATATATAATGATAAATATATATTTATAGTAATCTATATATAGTAGTACATATAGTAATATATAGTAATACATATATATATATTTATAGTAATCTATATTTAGTAGTACATATAGTAATATATATATAGTAATCTATATATAGTAATATATATATGTATAGTAATATATATATAGTAATATATATATATAGTAATATATATAGTAATATATATAGTAATATATATAGTAATATATATATAGTAATATATATATATAGTAATATATATAGTAATATATATAGTAATATATATAGTAATATATATAGTAATATGTATACTAATATATATAGTAATATATAGTAATATATATATAGTAATCTATATATATATATAGTAACTATATATAGTAATATATATAGTAATATATATAGTAATATATATATATAGTAATATATATAGTAATATATATATAGTAATACATATATATATATTTATAGTAATCTATATATAGTAGTACATATAGTAATATATATAGTAATAAATATATATATATAGTAATCTATATATAGTAAAAAATATATATAGTAATCTATATATAGTAATATATATAGTAATATATATAGTAATATATATAGTAATCTATATATAGTAATATATATAGTAATATAAATAGTAATATATACAGTAATATATATAGTAATATATATAGTAATATATATAGTAATATATATAGTAATATATATAGTAATATATATATATATAGTAATATAGTAATATATAGTCCTATATATATATAGTAATTCCCCCAGTCATATGATAGTAACAGTAATATGATAGTAATAGTTTTTGACCAATCCCTGTTTGAATTCTCCTCTTCTTATGAGAAAATTTGGCTACGTATATCTAATTAGCCTAATATCCACATATATTGGGGCTGTTGGGTTCTTAATCATCCAACATTTACATTTTGATGATTACTTTAAAAGATTTTCAGGCTTTTAGGATGTTTTATCATCCATATTTTAGGGATTGGATTTCCAATGCGAGCATAACGAGAGGATTTTACTGTCCTATTTCACCCGGGAATCTCCATCTGCAGCATCAAGCTCTGGTTGGTTCAATGGCAAAAAATGTGAAGGCCCATCCTCCATTTTCTCACTACCCACTTGCGTGATCCAAGTAAGGATGTACGGTTGGTTATACCATACATATACATCCAGGCAAAATATCTGTATATGTATGTATCACATAGTATATATATAGAGCCATACATGTATATCGATAGGCAATCTCTATAATATTCTATAATTAATATACAGCACAAGCGCCAAACAAATGCCAAAAAAAGGTACGAGACCAGGATGTAAGTTCGACGATATTTACCAGGAACATTTCCAGAACTGTCCAACTTTTCGGCACGGATGGAGGTTGGTATATCCTATACAACTCCTTTTTTTACCCCCACGGTTTAGATATACATACATTTATACATGTATGTATATGTATCCCATTGTATCCCATTATATCTTCATCGTAATTTTGGCCTCATTCCATATAGTCCATTACATGATTATTTATCTCCTATATATATATATCCCATTGATAGTATATTCTATTGATATTCCCATATTGAAGACTATTATATAGATATATATCCCATTAGTACTATATTACTATATCCCATATTCCCAATGTATATATATATATATCCCATCTTCCCAATAGATATAATATATCCCATATTCCCAATAGATATAATATATCCCATATTCCCAATAGGCCCAATAGATATAATATATCCCATATTCCCAATAGATATAATATATCCCATGAATATCATAAAGCCATTGATATTCCCATGTCAATGGCTCTACATTCGGATCGGCGCCAGGTCGTCCGGACCAAGCTTTCAGGCACGCCGAAGCCTGCTATTCACCGCACTGATGCGGGGGGGGGGGGCGTGGATGCACCGAAAATCCCCAAAACATGAAGAAAATTGGAGAAAACGGAAGAAAATGCAAGAAAATGAGGATTTCTGTCAACCAAACTTGGGATTGATGTTTGATTTATGAGAGGTAAGTTAGTTTCTTTCTCAAGGCTGACAATTGGATTGACGCTTGCTATATCTACTTTTAGATCGGCTAACAACCAAATCATAACTGGGTATAACTGGTTCTCTAGCCTGGGAGGACTTTATGTAGCGTTTGGAAACGATCGTAAAAGCACGGCCATTCAAGAGGGATCACCTATTACCCATCATTAGAATCATTGCAATTACCCATTATTAGAATCAATCATTTGGCCCAGATATATGGGTTTGCCTTTTCAATGGGATACCCTGTTCACTGTCAAAAACATGCATTTTTTGCAATTTCGGGGTTTCCAACCCATTTTCAGACACCGAAATCATCCATTGGAATCGCTGGCTCTGTATCCCATTCCGCCAAAAGGATTTGCTCTTCCAGGGAACTCCCCAAAAGTCGTGGAGATCCCAGTGGGAAGATCAACATCCGCAGCAAATCATCAGCAAATCCAGGACATGGATGTTTCAATATGGCCATTTATTAGTTATAACTGGTTATTGAACAATGGGATTATACATTCTATAAATGGGCTTTTCTTAGTACTTATAACTGGTATAACTTGGGCCATAACTGTGGAGCTTTCAAGTTGTCATGGGACCCCCCATTTTTTTCCAGTTGTTGGACCATGACAACTCGTATTGAAACCCATGGTGACGACTGGGGATTCCCCAGTTTAAGCAAAACCCTATACCCTCTGGTAAACTAACATAGCCATGGAAAACCACCATTTTTAATGGGAAAACTCACTATAAATGGTCATGTTCAATAGCTATGTTAAATTACCAGAGGGTACATTTCTATACTAATCAAACCACTGAATATTTATGTGTAGCAATAATAACACCATCATATCCAATCTTAAAATCCCAGTCTATCCCCGTGATGGTTGGTTCTCTTATCCATCTGTTGCTGCCAGATCCACCATGATCCACCGACAAATCCTGCACGGCATCGAATCGGAGAGGTGGTCCTGGGACCCACCTGAAAAACCCGGTCAGGTTGAAGAAATTGTCCATTGAGAAACCACGAAGAATCGCAAACTTAGTATAAACATCTATGATCATCTATGGCAATAACTAAGAAATTGTCCATTGGGATACCAATACTTAAGTATTAAGTTTGCCAAGTTTCCCAATGGACAATACTAGGTATCATCTATTGCAAACTTAATACAAGTTATTGGTATCTGATAGTGACTAAGTCAATGAGATAATCATCTACAATTCCTGTATGAAATAACATGTATAATAATGGTTATGATATCTATTGGGGACGAAGCAATGAGAATGGTCGATTGTGGATTAATGTGGTAAAGCGACTGCCATAATCCTCCTGAAATTTGGGATGGTTATGTACCACTCATTTTTGACAAAATTGAAGATGGTCTTCCTGATAAGTGTTACCACATTACTTGATGTCTCTGGGGAATTTATGGATAATCATTAAATGTTTTCGATTTGTATCGGGTACATGCAACGTCTCTTCATGAAAATGTGAAGGTACACCATGGTTGGAGGACTTTGCAACTGCACACGCTGGAAAACAGCATGAGACCCAGGCACTTTCAAGAGTGATGATCGAAAGAGGGCTATGTTGTTATTATTGTTTATTATAACATAACATAACATTGTTAAGTTGCTTATCGAGGGGTTTCCATATCCCCCCTGGTTTCTGTTTTGGAAGAAGAGTTTTACACTTGGAGGGTCAATGTTAAAACCCTTCTTGGGTAATTGTGCCCAAATAACTGGGAAAAACCCTTCTTCCAGATTTGAGGGTTGCCCAGGCACCTGCTGCTCCTTCAAGATCTATATTATTTATATTATGTATATTGTTTAATATATATTGATTATATATATATTATATTGTATATCATTTATATAATATATATATGTATATATATATATATGTTTTTTATACATTATAAAATATCTTTATTATTTAGAGCATATATATATTATAAATACGTTCTAGCGTATACAAAAAGTATATTAAATATTCAGAATATTATAGATATATTTGATATATGTGATATATTTTTTTTTATTTTCTAGAGTATATTTAAATATTATGTATAGTACCGGATTAAACCTTAGAAGGGGCCCCCAGTTTCCAAACCCGTGTTAGAATGGGGGTCACGGAGAACAACTTAGAATGCAGCATTCTAAGTTTAGGGGGTAAGGTGGACGAAAACGTATATATAAATCTCACTTGCCGGAAAAAAACAACTTTTTTGATTATTTGTGAAATGCATGCTAAGTTTACACCCGAGGATGTTTTTTTACGTGTATATATATATATATATGTGAACTCCTCCATTTCTGATGGCGCAAAATAAGGAACTTTATTATAGATAAACCCTGATGTCTGTTCTTGTGAAACGATGCTGCTGGTTTTCTTGTGTGTGCCTGGCAGTGCGCACAAAGCTGGGACAGCCATGCATCGTGCTGCATTTAGCGCTGGCGGTCGGAAGTTGAAAGAACACAAACCCAAAACAAGTATATATTTCTATATGTATACATAGATAAATAGCTACATATATATATAGTGACACACTGAAACTTAGAATGCCGCCCAGGTTGTTAAAATTTTGATTTTTGAACTTAGAATGCCGCCAAAAACCCTGTTTTTAAGGGTATTTTAGAATGCCGGCGTGTGAATGTTTCAATGTGCCAGACCCCGAACCACAGTATTGCCATACAAAATGCATATTTTAGGTCTAAAATGGCATTCTAAGTTCTCTCCTGCCAGTGTTTTTTCCTCCATAAAACCACCAAAAAAACAGCAAACAGAAAAATAACTCCACTCCGTTTGAAGCACATATGCAAGAAACAATGCAATTTACTGCATATTTACAGGGTTTTGTGAACATATAGGATCCAAGGCACCTCAAGATTCCTTTTTTTCCTCAAACGTGTCTCTCATTTCTTTCCCCATTAAAGATGAAAACCTCGAAAAAACAGGGACCAAAAATCCCTGGCAAAAGGTAACTTAGAATGCTGGCAAAGTTGTCTTTGGTTTTCCATTGTTTTTCATTGTTCCTTCTTTGGTTTTTCATTGGTTTTTCTGTGGTTCTCTTTTGTTTTTCCTTGATTTGTTCATAATTTTTTCTTTGGTTCTCAATAATGTTCATGTGTTGTTCTTTGCTTATCATTGGTTTTGTTCATTGGTTTTCATTGGTTTTTCTGGTGTTTTTCTTTGGTGTTCGTGTTTGACTCCAAAAATAGACACCTGAATGCAATTGAAAATTGCCTAATTAGGATTCCCAAATATTCCCAAATATTCCCAAATGAATTGCCTAATTGAAAACGAATACATGAAGTGAACTTTCTTGGAACTTTAGTATTCCCAAATGAATTGCCTAATTGAAAACGAATACATAAAGTGAACTTTCTTGGAACTTTAGTATTCACGAATTTGCCTACTTGAAAACGAATACAAAAAAGGGAACTTTCTTGGAATTTTAGTATTCACAAATGAATTGCCTAGTTGAAAACGAATACATAAAGTGAACTTTTTTGGAACTTTAGGATTCACAAATGACTTGCCTTATTGAAAACGAATACATAAAGTGAACTTTCTTGGAACTTTACTATTCCCAAATGAATTGCCTAATTGAAAACAAATACATAACGTGAACTTTCTTGGAACTTTACTATTCCCAAATGAATTGCCTAATTGAAAACGAATACATAAAGTGAACTTTCTTGGAACTTTAGTATTCACAAATGAATTGCCTAGTTGAAAACGATACATAAAGTGAACTTTCTTGGAACTTTAGTATTCACAAATGAATTGCCTAATTGAAAACGAATACATAAAGTGAACTTTCTTGGAACTGTAGTATTCACAAATGAATTGCCTAATTGAAAACGAATACATAAAGTGAACTTTCTTGGAACTGTAGTATTCACAAATGAATTGCCTAAATCCGCCATAAATCCTCCGTAAATCCTCCATAAATCCTTCATAAATCCATCATAAATCCTCCATAAATCCACCATGAATCCTCCATAAATCCTCCATAAATCCACCATAAATCCTCCATAAATCCCTCAAAAATTATCCATAGAGCTTCTATAAACCTTATTTTCAAGTGGCCAGGCGTATTTTCACAGAGCCGATGAACACCTGTGATCATATATGGACATTCTAAGTTTGCCAGATGTGGTCTCCAAACTACATAAGGGTGCTCAAATATGATAAACTCCTTACGGTGTGTTGGCGGCATTCTAACTCTAGTATGAAAATCTATGGGGTATAAAGCGAACATATGTTCACAGAGCCCATGAACACATATGATATTTTATGATCATATGTACACATTCTAAGTTTGCCGGATTTGGCCCCAAAACTACATAACGGTGTTCAAAAATGATAAACTCCGTACGGTGTGCTGCCACATTCCAACTCTAGTATGAAAATCTATGGGTTATAAAATTGCCATAGATAAACCCTGATGTCTGTTCTTGTGAAACAATGCTGCTGGTTTTCTTGTGTGTGCCTGGCAGTGCACACAAAGCTGGGACAGCCATGCATCGTGCTGCATGTAGCGCTGGCGGTCGGAAGTTGAAAGAACACAAACCCAAAACAAGTATATATCTATATATGTATACATAGATAAATAGCTACATGTATATATATATATATATAGATAGTGACACACTGAAACTTAGAATGCCGCCCAGTTTGTTAAACTTTTGATTTTTGAACTTAGAATGCCGCCAAAAACCCTGTTTTTAAGGGTATTTTAGAATGCCGGCGTGTGAATGTTTCAATGTGCCAGACCCCGAACCACAGTATTGCCATACAAAATGCATATTTTAGGTCTAAAATGGCATTCTAAGTTCTCTCCTGCCAGTGTTTTTTCCTCCATAAAACACCCAAAAAAACAGCAAACAGAAAAATAACTCCACTCCGTTTGAAGCACATATGCAAGAAACAATGCAATTTACTGCATATTTACAGGGTTTTGTGAACATACAGGATCCAAGGCACCTCAAGATTCCTTTTTTTCCTCAAAAGTGTCTCTTATTTCTTTCCCCATTAAAGATGAAAACCTCGAAAAAACAGGGACCAAAAATCCCTGGCAAAAGGTAACTTAGAATGCTGGCAAAGTTGTCTTTGGTTTTCCATTGTTTTTCATTGTTCCTGCTTTGGTTTTTCATTGGTTTTTCTGTGGTTCTCTTTCGTTTTTCCTTGATTTGTTCATAATTTTTCTTTGGTTCTCAATAATGTTCATGTGTTGTTCTTGGCTTATCATTGGTTTTGTTCATTGGTTTTCATTGGTTTTTCTGGTGTTTTTCTTTGGTGTTCGTGTTTGACTCCAAAAATAGACACCTGAATGCAATTGAAAATTGCCTAATTAGGATTCCCAAATATTCCCAAATATTCCCAAATGAATTGCCTAATTGAAAACGAATACATGAAGTGAACTTTCTTGGAACTTTAGTATTCCCAAATGAATTGCCTAATTGAAAACGAATACATAAAGTGAACTTTCTTGGAACTTTAGTATTCACGAATGAATTGCCTACTTGAAAACGAATACATAAAGTGAACTTTCTTGGAACTTTAGTATTCACAAATGAATTGCCTAGTTGAAAACGAATACATAAAGTGAACTTTTTTGGAACTTTAGGATTCACAAATGAATTGCCTACTTGAAAACGAATACATAAAGTGATTTTTTTCCACTTTAGTATTCGCGAATGCATTGCCTAATTGAAAACAAATACATAAAGTGAACTTTTTTGGAACTTTAGTTTTCACAAACGAATTGCCTAATTGAAAACGAATACATGGGGTGGGCTTTCTTGGAACTTTAGCATTCACAAATGAATTGCCGAATTGAAAACGAATACATAAAGTGAACTTTCTTGGAACTTTAGTATTCACGAATGAATTGCCTACTTGAAAACGAATACATAAAGTGAACTTTCTTGGAACTTTAGTATTCACAAATGAATTGCCTAGTTGAAAAC